TTTTAAAAAATAAAATGTATAAATTAAGAATTATTACAGTAGAAAAGAGTTCATAATAATACTAAAACCAATTAACGTGTCACCTCTTCAGCTAAGTGAAGACAGTTAAGATCACGTTCATCATGGATTACAACGCCTACATTTTTTTTGACGAAGTAACTGGACCTAGAAATCAAAGAAGGATAATGCTAAATTGAGTGATAAGAAGTAAGAATTGAACACCTATAAGAATTAAGAAAATGAATGATAAGAAGAATAGCTTACTGTGCGTGCTAGGTTAGTATCCATCTATAAAAATAGTTGAAAAAACTATAATGAGTATGAGATTACTTATAGGAGAGGATTAGAAAGAAAGTTATACATATAAAACTTACATGGCCAAAAAATAGTGATGTTGTAGGGTGATTCTGAATGTGTCGAGGTTCCTTCACCAAAATTGAACCAGTTGAGATTATTTGCAGGCATCCCTCAGAGCATTGTTGTCATAGACGATGACACCGGGATATTTGTTGGCACTGTTTGTTTTTCTATAAGCGAAAGAAATTTTCCAGTCACAGGCGTCGATTGATTGTGAGGTCTCTTCACTGATGATTGTTGCATTTGAGCTTGATGGCAACGACTCGGTGTTAAGGAAGGAAAAACTCTAGGTTGACTGGATGGACGTTCTGATCTTTCCCGTTCCCGACGTGCACGTTGCGCCAATTGATATTTGGTTAAAACATTTTTATTGATTGCCTAAAAAGTAAATAAGAAACATATATTATTGTGAATAATAAGTAACTTTTTTAAAAATTAATTCAGTCTTGAATAGGCAAATGACCAATCATACAACTTGGTCATTTGTATTTTTTTTTCTGTAGACAGAACAACTTGCTTTTTCTTTTCCTTTATAGCTAGCATTCACCATCATGTTTGACTTTTTTTTTTTATCTAAGCAAACAATTTGAATTAGTAATAAACGTATATTTAACATTATGTATGAATATTACAAACACATGAATGTTGGAGCTTTGTAAAAGGAAAAAAAAATAATGCAATCCAAAAGGAAACATTAGAATTTAATGTAGATATTGTAAAAAATCAGATAAATTTGGTGAGAACAGGGAAACATGCTTGCAATAAAAACAGAACACGATCAGTTAGAAAAGAAAATTAAAAATTTAAGCAGATAATTTCTTGAAAACTAAAAACAAAACACAATCAAGGAAACATGTTTGCAACCCAAATGAATCTTAATGTCTATGGCCACAATTGACTACATCACCCAAAAAAAAAAAAAATAGTATCGTGTCACTTATTATTGTTTAGAATAAAATATATTATTTTTTGGTGTAATTTACTAACTTTTAAGGTGCAATTATTTTTTGGGTTTACTTACCATTTTTTTTAGTTAAAATTTATTATTTTTTGAATAAAATTTAGGATAAATTTCATCCCCACCCCCTTATAGGTAAGCCTAACTTTCATCAACAGCCCCATTGATTTTAAAATTTCACTCCNTTTGAATAAAATTTAGGATAAATTTCATCCCCACCCCCTTATAGATAAGCTTAACTTTCATCAACAGCCCCACTGATTTTAAAATTTCACTTTACTATCTTATAGTTTTTATGTTTATTTTAATTAAACAATTAAACCCCTTGTTGTGAGGAACCGTCACTGACAACTAAAAAAGTGCTAATGTCATCTTATTTTCTTTCAAAAATATCAATTTTACCCATTTCTTCTTCGCACTATTTCACCCACACATCTCCCTATATTTACACACATTGTTGCACCACCACAATACTGTAGACTCCATGGCCCCCTCCCTACTGAATCGTCAACAAATAGCCTCTAACACCATCACTATGCACCACTACAATTCATCAAATAAAAAACAATGGTTTTTTACCCAATATTTTGTTGATTTATAATGTGTGTGAGAAAGAGATTATCACTGCTCACAGCCACTAAAAATTTACTGCATTGGGGTAAAGGCACGGAGGCAAACAAATAGGCAAGCACCAAATGTTGTCCAGAAAAATAAAAAATCCAAATAGAAAAACAGTCATCATCATAAAAAAAAATTTAGAGAGTTATTTACAATCCTTCTAGACCTCTGGTGTTCTACAATTACACCTCAATAGACCTCTCATTCTTCCCAAATTTCTTTTT